AAATGAGACTTTCGGTTGGGTGGGGCGCTGTTTCAGCCTCCTATATAATGATATGTTATCCATAAATTTATTCTGACCATAGTTTATCATGCAAAATACAATCAATTCAGAGTTGCATGCGCATTGCAGTTCAAACAAAATCGAGTGGCATGTATTTAAAAGATTAAATGACATTAACAAATGAAAAATAGGCTTAATGATTCAATACAATTTGTATCTCTAGTTAACTGTATAATAATACTAAACATCCAGAGTTCCAGATTCAACTGATCAACAACCAAATAAAAAAACAGGCCAAAACTTCACACCAGATTGGAACACCTTCACTTAACCCTCCTATACAAACTAAAAACCAAACATCAGAATAAACACAGAGAACCCCAAAATATAGAATGTGGGTGAACCGACAATGTTCGGCGGATTGCTACGCAGAACAATGCCCTTGTAGATTCAGCAACACTGATTTCTTCCATTCAGGGAGCGTCCTGCAATGAAAGATGGATTCATGATTTCAATAGAAGTTAGGTAAACAAATTTGCATAACTGGTTTTCTCCCTGAGTACCCAGTATTTGCTTTATGTGCAGCCTAATACAGATGAAAAACGTTTGGAACACAAACCAGCTAGTGTTAATATACGAATTTTACCACATTTTCCTTGTTCCCTTCAACCGTTTCAGCTGTTGCAGGTGAAGGATTGGCCGCCCCTGAAAGTCAATTTATAAAATTCTTGAAGTCCGGCACCCAAAAAGTGTAAATACTTCAAGTAAGAAACACAAGTATGAACTTGCCTTCTTCGGTGGTTGATTTCTTTCCCTGTTTCTTTATCTTATCCATTTCCTTTTTAGGCTCTGGCTTTGAAACATTTTGGGCTTTCCTTTGTATTTTACGACCACCAGTATCCGAAACAGGTCTTGAATTTGCAGCATTCTTATTCAGGGAGGCCCTAGTCCTGGTCGCAGGATTCCTCTTTGAAGCAGTATCCTTCACTGGTTCCGTAGCTGATGAGACTTGAGCAGGAGGAGAGTCTGTGTTCAAGGACTTGGGTTTCAGCCCTGCTTCAACTGTAGAGCAAGAGCTATGAACATCCTCATCAGATGACGGTGCTCCCTCTTCAGGCACTTGAGAACAAGTCTCAGAGACCTGCCGCTGCTCTGAATTTTCTGAAATGTTGTATTTTTCAAATAGTTCTTTCACAACATCCCCAAGTTCACCAAGATCATGACGGCGTGCATATGATCTAAGCTCATCCCGCATTTTCTGTAGGGGCTGAAAATATAAGAATTAAAAGTACATTGTGAGCAGAGGATCAAAACACAAGACTCAAAAGCATGCATTATGTATTTAAATTTAAAAGAATTGAAGATAGTTTTGTCAACAACTCATAGCATGTAAATTTTTTGAAACTACATAACATAACATAGATGTGCGTACCTCACATCCAGCTTCTAGAGCCAGTTTGAAAAATGCAAGTGAAATTGAATGCTTAGAAGCCAACTCGGCGAGCTTAATCTGAGATAACCAGTATGAGGCTTTTGACAGGTCACTGAACTTCCTTACACTAGCTGATCTGGAAGCAGCATCCGGAATTGGTGTTCCACTTTTGCCTTTAAGATTGACAGGCCTCTTAGGTCTAGACTCAGATATTGGAGTTATATTCGAGGCCAATTTTGGGGAGGGATTGGTTGTTGTTGACTTGGCAGGAATAGAGAACCTTCGAGGTGGCTTAGCTGATTTCTCTTTGCCAGAGAGCTCAAGCACACTGACACTCTTACTCACATTCGATGCTGGTCTCCCCCTTAGTGTAGAACAAAAAAGAAAACCGCACTTGCATGGGTCAATTGGAATTATGCTGCTAACTGCTAACAGCTCTTAAACTAATTGTTTTGATACACCAGAAATCAACTATTTCTTCAACCAATGACATTGGAATCACATAAGCAGTTGAATAAGATTAAAATCTCGTGTTTTGCAGTTCAGAAGGTATCATACTGAAAAACACCAACAATTAGATGGAGTTCTCCCTCATTATCTAGGAGTCCCTCCTAATCCAAAGATTAGAGCTTTGTAGAGCAAAACCCATCTTTTATAAGAAAAAGATACATCCACCAAACAAATATACATAAATATATGTTTAATAGTTCAGACCAGGAAAAAAAAAATTATCAGTCCGGACTGAAAATGTCATTTTTGTCTTTA